ACATTTCAGGCCGAGATATCTGACTCTGACTCAATTTATAGCTTTCTATTGAAGTCAATCTTTCGCTGGATCACGCTATTCTATATAAGCCGATCTCTCGCTAGCTCAAGCTTTCCTGTAGAAGCTATTCTTTCGCTAGTTCCAGCATTCCTTAAGAAGCCGAACTGTCAATAGCTCAAAAGTTCCTACAGATTCCAATCTTTTGCTAGCTCAAGCTTTTCTTTCTAGCTTAAGCTTTGCTTCATAAGTAAATTTATAAATAACTAAATTTATCGCTAGCTAAAACTTTCATATATAATCAATCTCTCGCTAGTTCAAAGTTCAAGCTAGCCTGTAAATGTCAATATATTGTTTAATTTATCTATCGTTGAAGATTATGTTTAGTAGTCTGTTTATCGCTTGCTAGAGCTTTCATCTGGAAATCAATCTATTATTTGTTAATATTGCCTTCCTTTAGGAGAATTTATTGGTAGTTAAACTTTTCCTCTAAATTCAATTCATAGTTAGCTCAAGCTTTTCGTAAAATATATCGCTAGCTCAAGCTTTCCTCTAGAAGTCAATTTGCGACTCAAACTTTCCTACAAAGTAATTTTATAACTTTCTGAAGTTTTCCCATTGTAGTCAATCATTCGCTAGATCAAGCTACCCTATTGAATTCAATATCTTTCTACTTTAAGCTTCCCTATAGGTTGACATCAGAATGTATATTTTATTAGATCCGAAAAAGTTTATATCGGCCACTAACGGCATTTTTCATGGAAAGATTTTGTCTAAAAATCTTATATAGCAAATCTATGATAAGAATTATCGCCCAGAAGTCAATATGTCCTAATGAAATCAACTTATCGGCTACAGCTGAAGATTTCCTGTAGAGATTGATCTACCGTTAAGACAAAATTTCATGATATTATTTACAAAATGACTCATAAAATTATAGTGCTGTAATGTTAAATTATGTAACATTTGCCATGACATCTAAAATGTATAATTTGGCAAATACAGCTACAGATTACTTGTACTAAATATTTGTATAAGACTTATACAAATATGTAGTAAAAAAATCTGTACAGTAATGGTCAAAGTAATTGTTGTTTCGTTATTTACTTAAAGAGTATTACTGCCGAAAACCAGATGTCATTGTTGTGAATTTTTGTTTATTTTACAGATACTTTTCATTGCAAATACATAGTTGTAATGTTGTGTTATTGATTGCAGTTTAGTTTTTCTCTGCAGTAGACGGAAGAAGACAAATGGACTTGCCTTAACTGCAAAATGACTTAAGTGGGGTCTTAAAACTATTTAGGAGAGTTAAAAACAACAGACTATTTTTTATAACTTTGTAATTTTATCATTTAATTGTAAAATGAAAAAAAAAAAAAAAAATTGGAAAATAACAGATAGAGCTTTCTTGCAGGCTTAACTGAAGTATTTGTAAACATTTGTTAAGTGTCAAATAAGTGGTTCGCTGAGGAATAGAATGGTGTTTGGATGTACTTTTTAAGAAGTTTAAATTAATTTACAAATATGCAGCCTCTAGGCAGGTTGTGAAGGTCATTATAGGTCTTCAAATAAAAGTATTTTAAGAAATTCTTAAACAATCTTAGTAAAAACATTAACTAAAATCCTTTAAAAATTTTAATTTGTTGGCCTAAATAGCAAACAATAAGTGTGAAAAGTAATTAGATATTAAATCATTTGTAAAATAGTTATGGTAAATACTTACATACATACATGTAAGTATATATGTAAATGTAAATAATTGTGGTTTGCTAATCATATACAAAAGTAAAGTAAAAAGTAAATACATTATTGCCTTAATCTGTTATTTAAATAAATCTTTTGTATAATTCACTTAAACAGCAAGAATTTAAATGGTATTTTGTAAATGTGATTTATGCTTTATGTAATTAATGTTAATTAATTAAGATAAAATATTATGAAAAATATACAATTTTAATTAATTCTAAAATTATGTGATTTTAGAAAGCCAAAATGTTAATTTTTGTAATTATAGAGAAATACTTAAGGAAACACACCGAAGATGCCTATATTTTTCTAAATATTCCCAGCAAAAACTTAGATTGAAAAGTAATGAGTTAAAAAGCTTAAAAATAACACGATGATGACATTGAAGGCAAGTATATAACACGCTCGCTTACAAATAACTACTTAAATAAGTTCTTTCATAAAAAATAAAAGTTGTTTTGTTTTAGGTAGAACAAAATTGCTCATACAAAATACGAATCTGGGCCTCTTGTTCGTTAGTTCGCTCACGACACCACTGCTCAGTTATTTTATTGTACGTCAAATTATAATTTTCACACATAAAAACAAAAAGCAGCAAAATCAAAATAAAGTTCTTACGTATCTGTTCATACTTATGTAGGTTAGGTTAGGTTGATAGGAGGACGTATAGTACATCAAATCCAAAGAAATACACCTAAGCCACTATCGGGCCTGTGGTGCGCTTCCTTTCATGAAAAAAAATATTATTGTTCAGTGTTCAGAAACTCAGTTTCCTGGACGTAATTCCTAAGAATTTTCCAATCAGTGTTAGTCAGGAATGTTATTTCCGGAATAACATCACGTCGTTGCCGACTACTCCTGAGTATCCTGGTACCAATATGATGTAACCTTACCTCTGGGGGAGTATTCAGTTAAAGCTTTCTTACAATCCAATACGGTCTTAGATTTAATTCTATCACCTGATATCGCCCTAATTGCCTTCTGGCTGTCGGTGAATATATTAAGGGCCGTGGGCGCCACATTTATTATAATCCAATTTACATATTCCATTATTGCTCGGACATCTGCCCGGAATCTTGTGTTATGATTAGGTAAACGGTACCGTTACCTAATCATAACGGTGTTATCATTAGGTACGGTACTTAGTAAGTTATTATAAGAGTACTTAGAGGTAACGCAGACGGTATGTAGTAGTCATTAAAAAGTAAGTCGTTATGTAAGTACATGTCATTACCCTCCGTAAGGTATACAAATCGGCTGAGAATCAATTTTTGAGTCGATTAAGTTATATTCGTTTGTCCCTCCGTCCGTCTGTCCATCTGTGTAAACTTTGTGCACTCGCTACAGGTCGCAATTTGTAAGATTTGATAAAATTTGGCACGTACGCCTCTTTTCGTCCAAGGAACGAAAAAATGGTTGAAATCGGTCAATTATTTCACCTGACTTTAGCCGCCATATAAATTACCCTTCGTAACATGAGTTGAATATCCAGGATAACCTTTTGATTTAATGACCTGCAATACTAAATGACCGAATATTCACTGATCCGGTTGATAAAGTTATTCGTAAATAAGAAATTTACACATTTAATTCTCGAGAGGTTGAAAATATCCTTTAGAACTAAAAAAGAAGTATGCAATGTCCTTGATCTACGAGTCCCTAGAGGTAGTCAATTATACAGATATGTATTTGGAGGTTTTCTCCTTTAAGCCGCGTAATCTACATAGAATCGTTGTAGCATTTCTCAGTCTGAATTGGTGGTATTTGGGAACTCAGTGTCCCTTCCAGAGAGTAATTCCGCTAGTATTCTAAGGTCACTTTTATTAAGAAATAACAGCTTTTGGAATTCTTGCTTAGGTAGAAATATAAAATGTTTTGCCTGTCCCTGATATAGCTTCCCAGTTTTCAAACCACGAGTCACACCATTCCCTAATCTATCTTTGTGAAGTACAAAGGAAAGTTTCGGGCCAATAAATGGGTGCCAAAGTGGCCTTCATGACCAGGTAGCCAGCATAAAGTTAATTTATTGTATGTGCCTAATTCATACTATGATATAGCATAGTTCATTGCAACATTAACTTCATATGGCAACTAGATCATAAGTGACCTTTGCGTCTAAGACAATACACAAAAATATAAACCCCTAATATTCCTTCTTACACATAGATGAAGTTAATTGGCGCACGGTCTTCTAGCTCAAGTTTCACTACCAATTTCGTTGGACCCATCTGTGAAGCAAACTTGCTCAGTATATTCTTGTCATAGAGATCTATTGATCTCTACTAGATATAATAACGTCAAAGGATAGATCGAAGGAAATTGTAATATGTAAGTTACAAAGTCATGATATTTCATAATTCCCAACAGGTTTATCTTATAATGTGTTTAAGTAGTCATAGTGTGAAAAGGCAGAACTGATATTGCCGTTTGTGCAGCACTTATACATGATATCAGATTGTTATACATTCGTATTTTAGTCGGGACCAAGGGCTGTCGAATTCTTCTTGACTTCGTGTAGATTTTCCGATCACATTCTTAGATAGAATCAAGAGGTCCCGAACTCTTCTCGACTTCGTTTAGTTTACCAGATTATTGTTCATTCGTATTTCGGTCGAGATCATTTTAAGCCAAGTGAAAATGGCTGATCAAGAGCCCCTGAATACTTCATAACCTCTTGTTTATTTGTCGATTGTTTTCTTAGCCGATATCAAAAGCCACCGATTTCTTCTTGATTTCGTCCTAATTTAATCGATCGCTCTAGCCTATAAAGCGATAAATCGTAGTTGAATAGAAAGCCTTTGACACTCCAAAAATCAACATGCGACTTCCGTAAACTAACATTCAATCCTCAACTTCCGAATATTTAGCTTCTTCAATTTACGAAGCCAAGTAGTTTAAGGTTGGTATGATCTTTAAAATAAGTAGTGGTGGGTCCATAATTGATCCATGTCCACATTAAAGGTATTTTTCCGTAAATCACCATCATGTTCATATACGTATTGATATAAGGTAGTAAATAATGAAGCAATCGATTTATAAAGACCAAAAATCCTTTTAAAATTTGCGGCATACATATGTGTTGATCGTGGGTATATAGCTGATTATAACATCATAACATGTTCCTAACAGACATGTGTCAACACTCACAGAAAAATAATGACCTTTATTAAAAAAATTAAAACTTGTTATTTTTTTTAATTTACATTTTATTTATAATAAATTATTAATTTATAATACAAATGAGTATGATTAACATAACATAATAATAATGTTGTTTCACAATTTTTTTACAATATTTGTTTATTTTAAATTTCATAAATATTCTACAAATTCCCTTAAGGATTAATATAGTTATTATTAATTTATAGCAATTATTACGTGATATGTAAACTCGAGAGATTTACACAACTAATAAAGTATAAATAAATAAATTTTTATACACAATACAATATAAAAAGGGACAAGAAGTTTTTTGTAACGTTTGATGTTTACGTTAGAAGTTATTTAATCTTTATGGCAACTTTCAAATAGAAAATTTATTTTCAAATTTGAAACTAAAATAAAATATGTATTTAACTTAAATAATAACGACATATTTATAATGAGAAATAAATAAAATTACTAGTATTTGTGTTAAAATAATGAGCTTAAATTAAAAGGGCAAAAACTAAAATGAAATAAATAAAAATAATGGATTTGAAACGAAAAATTTGAAGAAAAAGTAACTAGAAGAGAAAGTTAATAGTGACTGAAGAGAGTTTTCCCGACTCTCTTATATTTTCTCTTTAACACACTTTTGTGAGAATTAATGTTTAGCTTCATTCTCCTCTTTTACCACAATAGGATCAATTTCCTTAACGTCGGCGGGAGTTTCTTTCTCATCATCGGGGCGTACTTTTACTTCAACCTTATTGGATTCTTGAGGAGCTACACCCGGTTCATTTTCATCTTCGGCCTCTATAGGTTCATCATGGATATCAATATCTGATCTACTTTCGGCCTTGTGATTGGCCGGCAAAGGTTGGTGTTGCTGTTGGGGTTGTTCGACAGCATTGAGAATGGTTTGTAAGAGACCAGAAGATAAGATTTCCTCATGATTAGCGGACTGTTCACCATTACCACCAAATTGTACTTGATAGGTTTGGCCATTGTTGGTGGTGTGTTCCTCATGGCTGAAATGTATGGCTTGCGACTTTTGGGCAGAGAGTACATTAAGACCATCTAAACCGGGTAAACCTTCAGGATTGGTGCCATCAGGCAAAGCGGTAACTTGAGACTTTTCAGAGGCATAACCAATATGATCAAGTTCATTACCACCGGAAGGTGGGGGACCATAACTGGAGGCGGGTCCTGAGATGAATTGTGTATGCTGTTCAGCTACAGGAATGCTCTGGGCAATGGAAGTGCTGGATCCCGATGAATATTGTTGTTGTTGTTGCTGTTGTTGGTAGTTAAAATTGGCACCACCTCCTACTAGATTGGGTCCGTGTCCGCAATCATGGAAACGGGGTTGTTCTTGTTGCAAAGGTAAAGCTTGGGCATGTATAATTTCGTTATTGTACTGAGAGGCAGCATAGGCTGTGCTATCAAATGTAGCGGAGGCACTTGAGGTATAAGTAGCACCACCGTTGAATTGTTGTTGTGAAGGACCTGTAGGTGGCAAGTATTGTTCGGCTGGTGGTGCGGGAGGTAGATATTGAGGTTGTGGTGGTGGTGGAGGCACGCCATATTCAGCATGAGCATTACCAAATTGTTGTTGCTGCTGTTGGAAATGTTGTTGTTGTTGCTGTTGGAAATGTTGTTGTTGTTGTTGTTGGTGATGATGTTGTTCTTGCTGTTGTTGGTGATTATGTTGTTGTTGCTGTTCAATTTGTACAAAAACTTGTGGCGGCTGTTGTTGGGGCAATTGTTGTTCAATGATATCATGAGGTATTTGTTGTTGTTGCTGCTGTTGTGGTGGCACACCATATTCAATATTCAAATTACCAGGACCTGTTTGTGGAATTTCATTGGCGGCGGGAGGAATATAAGTGGGTGCTTGAACATTAGGCTTAACACCAAATTTATCTAAATGTTGAACAGTGGCGCCGATAGTTTCGAAAAGTCCTTGAGGCACTGGGGGTCTAAAGGCTACAGGTTTGCTGGGCTGAGCACCGCCATGGACAGGGAAGTTTGCCAAATTGCCGGATTGTTTGCCATATTGAATACCTAAACCGGCTTGAGCATGATGGTGAACAAAAGCAGCAGCACCTGGACCGGAGGGTGGTGGAGGACCATAGTTGCCACTGGGTGGTGGTGGTGGAGGACCATAGTTACCGCTGGGTGGTGGTGGTGGACCATAGTTGCCTTTAGGTGGTGGTGGGGGACCATAGTTGCCATTCGGGGGTGGTGGAGGGCCATAGTTACCACTGGGTGGTGGTGGTGGACCATATTTGCCATTGGGTGGTGGTGGAGGTCCAAAGTTACCGCCAGATCCGCTAATGCCAAAACTGCTGTGAGAATTAGACTGCTGTTGGAATTTGTGTGCATACTTGGAGCCAGGAGCATAAGAATCGGAAGGAGGTTTGCTATAGGAGTCATCAATGGAACCCAAAGAGAGCTAGTAAAACACAAACATAAAACAATTAAAATCTTCTTCAAATTCCTTAACAAAACCTTCGCTACTTACCTGCAAGGCTTCAGCTTCTATAGAATTCAAACCATGTTGATTAAAGTCTCCTGCTGGTCCAGTCGAGGGTAAAACATCTTGTTGTTGCACTACATTATCGCCATCCAAACTACCCGATTGCAAAGCTACAGCTACTAATTGTTCATCAGATAAACCATCAATAATACTGCTACCACCCGAACCGGAACCGCTAACCAAGACAGTAGAACCAGAACCAGTAGCACCAATACTAGCATGACCGGTAGCACTTGCTCCACCACTGTACTGAGTGGTAGAGAAGGAAGAAGCAGCTGACGAATGAGAAGAACCTTGGGCAACATGACTGTAACCAGATTGAGTATCAATATGATTGTTTTCGACATAAGATCCTACAGGAGCAGGAATGGGTTTCCAACCATCACAGGCAGTGTGGAAGGGAGCTTGAGATCCTGCTACGGAGTGAGTATGACCAGAGGCATCAATTTGTATTTGAACTTGTTGTTGTTGCTGTTGATGATGTTGGCTTTGTTGATGATGACTTTGGGAATTTTGGGAACCCGATTGAATAATAGTGGTCTCAGGTACACGATTGAAATTGGGCAATGGTGGTGGTCCATAGTTTGGTGGCGGTGGACCATAAATCTGCTTGGGTGGTATGTTCAAAGGTCCCGAGGGTGGTGGTCCATAAGAGGTGGCTGGTTGATGTTGAGGCTTAAATTGTGGGGCAGGTTGGTACAAAGGCAAGGCTTGTGGTGGTGGAGGTCCATACTGAAGCTTGGGTGGTCCATAAGAGGGAGCTGGTTTATGTTGCAATTTTTGTGGTGGTGGTCCATAATTATTGCCCGGTTTTGGTGGTGGTGGACCATATTGCTGTGTTGGAGGAGGACCATACTGCTGTTGAGGCTTATGGGGAGGTCCATAGAAAGGTTTGGGAGCTCCATAATGGTTTTTGATTTGTTCATGCAAACCCGAAGACGAAGAGCCGCCACCGCCAATGAAGTTCAATTTGGGAGGTCCATATTTCAAAGCTGGTGGTCCATATTCACGGAAGGGCATCTGTTGGGGTACACCATACTCACGATGAGGCAGACGTTGTGGTGGTGGTCCATAAGAAGGTTTGATCTGTATGGCATGCGTTGAGCACGCTAACAGCGCTGTTAACAGCGTAAAGCGAAAGAACATCTAGGGGAGAAAGAAACGAAAGTAGGAAATAGTAGAAAGAAGAATTAGTAAAGTAAAGGAAGTAGAAATTAAATTGTAGTTGTAAAGACTAGAAAGAAGGAAAATGAGGAAAATGAAAAATTAAAAAGTATTTAATGAAATGACTTTATAGACCTAAGTAAGAATTAAATCTTAGGCCAATGTATTCATTAATTTAGAAAGCAAATGGTTTGCAAAATTACGAGAATGAAATTGACTAAAATTTGAGGAAATAATTCTTTTCAAATTCTTTAATCTTCAAATTTAGCAGATTTAAGATTTATCTTATTTTATACATATTTGTTGTTTTATTTTTGTTCAATATTATTCCAAAATGTCATGTTACCATTAAGCTGCCTTGCCATGTTACTTAAACCAAACAATGTAAAACTGATATATGCATACCTTAAACTCCACAAACATCTACGGAGGTACACATATATTTACATATGATAAAGCTTTAGCATGTATGTAAGCTGCTGTAAAAATCCTGCGGGCTTAAAACAATTTTCATACCTTAACACCATGCTATACACTCCCCCCATACCCTCCTCCACAATAACAACAACTTATGACATTTTTATGAAGGCATATTCCTAGACACCGTCATACTATAACAATTGACGCTGTTGCTTGCCAAAACTACTGCTGCCACTACTAGTACCACTTGGTGGAACAGCAACTAACAGCCATGTACATAGCAACTTGTTTAAACAAATAAGCCCGCATCTCTCATCAGTTTGTATCATCTATGGTTGGCACAGTTGACATTGAGGAAGACAAGAGAGATTTTTTCGGTTTTAATCAAGTGAATATTGGTGGAAATAGGAGTTACATAGTGTTTTGATCGTATTGTTTGTAAGTTACGGAGATTTTCTTTTACATTTCTAAAATCTAAGGGTTTAGTTTTTTCTAAAAAATTGATTTTTATCTTAGATTTTCTTTTAAATTGAAAATTTGAAGAGAGTATTAAATGTATAAGAGTAAACTATTTCTATTCAAGATTAATTAGAACTCACAAGAAAACATTTTCTCTTTTTATAGAAAGAGAGATTTTTCATAACTGCTCTTACGTGTTCGTTAGCTTAAACGTGTTACTCTCTGCCTACAACTGGCATTCAATGAATTAATTTATATTATTCCCAATATGTAGAAGTGGAATGAACTAATATTTCTCGGTAGATCATATTAATCTTTGTTGATATCCTCATATTGAAGAAATAATTAAAACTAATGATGAGAGCTCTTGTTTTTCCCACCCGTTGCCTGATCTACGCTGATCACGTACATCATTTTCAAGAAGATAGTTTGCCTATCTCTCACCAGGCCCCTTAATTTTAGTCATTCACAGTATCCCTCCATGTTTTCTCATTTTTCGATTTCGATTGATCATTGCGAGATGTGTGATCGTGTAGTCCTCTATCCACTCTCTCTCTCATTTCACCACTAAACAAGTAGTACACTAAAGAAGTAGTAACTATGGATCATAGTTACTAAATAGTTCAGAGCCTAACAATTTGTGTCAATCACTGTCATCATATTCCGCGGACGATCTTTCGGATATTTGTGTCGCTACTCAACCAATGTCATAGGCTGTGATCAATGACATCATATTTCGTGGACTATCAATCGGATATTTTTGCTGCTGATCGACCAAATTCATATGTTGATCATTGACTTCACAGAATTGATAACTTAATACAACTTTGGAAAAGTCTGACCGTCAAAGACTGTAGTCACTACCATCCAAAGGTTTAAAATTGTTAAGCCTTAATTCAATTTTTTAAATCAAATTAAAATTTATTACTTCACCATTCTATAAAATCATTCATTCGAATTAATTCATAAGCTGAATTCCTTAGGGCTTTAAAAATGTTGAATTCATTACATGTATAATTCATTCTTTAAAGGCTTAATTCCTTGCTGAATGATTTAATTTTTTTCAAATTCAAATCTATTACAAAATAGCTTCAATCGTTTTTTCTTCATTCATTTTGTAGGGGATTAAAGAAATATTTTCAAATAAAAATGTATATACATTAGGGGGTCTTTTGTTTTTATTAATTTTATTTTGTATTTTACAAATAAATTTTTTTGGTTTTAATATCAGCTAATTAAATATGATTGAAAAATAAGCACACTAGATGAAATTAAACTAAAATAAATATAGCCTTTGTTTTATTTTACATAAATGACAAATCTAGTTTGAAACATAATATTTATAAAGTTGTTTAAACGTTATTTTTGTGCGTCTTTTAATTATATTTTCGAAATATAATTTCCATTTGAAAAAAGTTTGAACTACCCTTATACATATACATACATACGTACACGTATAAACAGAATTATAAATATTTCAAGTTTGAAATAAATTTAAAATTTAAAATTATTTTTCAAATTAAAAATTATTTTTTCCAAAATAATTTCTATTATGAGTGATTTAGAATTTTCATCTGATGACTCCATCGTTGATAAAAGTTATGTGGTTCCTAGACAGAAGCGAATAAGAAAGGTTTATAAGAAACCAAATATAACAAATGATATATTATTTAAGGACTATTTTCAAATTAAACAACAAGTAAGTAAAATTCCTCAGGTTATACCTTATACCACTATTGTTGGATATATACATATGTATATTATATAATGCTGTAAGTTAAGCTGAGTCCGAACCCAATTCCTTCTGGTGCAGGGTATAATCTAGTGGGACACGTCCAATTATAATTCTCAATTACTAACCTGTATCCTTATATTACAGTTGTATGATACAGATTACCAAAGAAATAATTGTGGTGTTATAGCCAAATGTATTACATGTAATTCTGAAGTAAAGGGTACTCTTAATGTAACGTCCAACTTTTTAAGACATTTGAGGAGACATGAGACTGTTTTTAATAAATATTCTCAGGACCGAGTTGTAATTGATAAAAAAGAAAATTATAAAACAGATTTGGACAGACACTTAATAGACGTTTTTGCAGAGAGTTTAATTCCTTTTACTTTGTTAGAAAGTAAAGCCTTCAAAGTGTTTTTAGGAATGTTAAATGACAACTATACGGTTCCAAGTCGTCCAACAGCTATGAAAATCATTAAAAAAAATTTTACAGAAATGAAAGATGATATCAAAAGTCAAATTCTAAATGCTGGATTTGTTTGTACAACAGCCGATATTTGGTCATCATCCACACGTTCCTTTTTTGGCTATACATGTCATTGGCTTGATGATAATTTGGAAAGAAAATCTGTTGGTTTAGCCTGTAGACGATTTACTGGATCGCACACATATATCAAAATTAATGACTTATTGCGACAAATCCATAGTGAATATAATTTGAATAATGGCAATATTATCGCTACAGTCACGGATAATGGCTCGAATTTTATTAAGACTTTTAAAGAATATGGAATCGATAGGTATTACAACTCCACTGACTTTGTTACAAATGAGGATGAGTATGTGTTCAACAATGAGCATTTAGAAGAATTTCTGCCAACACATATTCGTTGCTGCTCTCACACATTAAGTCTACTTGCAACAAAGGACTACGAAACTAATTTAAAATCCACTTTAAACTATGACTACCACAAAGAGGTATGAATATATATGTAGATATATATATATGATTTTTAATAACAAAAGTGCTTTTTTACCATATATTTAAGGTGATTCAAAAATGCTCTATTATCTGGAATAAGTCCCACAGACCGAAATCCGCAGAGCTAATTAAATCATTTTTAGGTTCCTTATTAAAAAGTCCTGTTATTACAAGGTGGAACTCCCTATATGACTCTTTCAAACATATATTAGAAATAAAAGATAAGTGTAAAGAGTTGTGTGACATATTAAATATACCGAGCCTAACAGAAAATGATTTTTTATACATACAAGAATATGTCTTAATTACTAAGCCTATTGCTGATGCTATCGATTTTCTTCAACAAGAGAAAAATATTTTTTATGGATACATGTTACCAACACTTGCCACTATTAGAAATGAATTTAGAAGACTAAAAAATACAACGCTAAAAATACTAAAACAAGACATAATAAATCTGATGGAAGAAAGTTTAATTAAACGATTCTCAAAATATTTTGCACTAGAAAATGAAGTTGATATGGCAATAACAGCATCGGTGTTATGTCCAGATGTAAAACTTAATTGGATAAAGGCTATGAACCCGTCCCTAGGGCAAACACAAATCGAGGAAATTGCCAAAAGAATAAAAAATAAAATAGAGTCTGAAACACTTGTAAATACTGACGAAACACCTCAAGTATCTAAAAATACATATTTCAATTTTAATGTTTCTGGTATGTTTACAAACTCTAATAGTACTTAAGTAATAACATAACTTTTTGTACATTTTTAGATGAAACCCCAACATGTTCCTACACTAACATAAATTCTGAATACCTGAACTTCATGGTTGACACCTCTACAGATATAAAAATGCTCAATCGATATCCAAAACTCAAAAAAATGTTTAGGAAATACAACACACCCTTACCCTCATCGGCTCCAGTTGAGCGTATGTTTTCTTATGCTGGGCTGGTAAATGCACCAAGGCGTTCGGCACTAACCGATTCGAATTTTGAGCAACTTGTTCTTTTAAAAGTTAATAATAAAAATAATTAATAGTTAGTTATTGTAAAAATATTGTAAATTACAATTTATATCAATTTGTACTGTTATTTATTGTTATTAATTTCTAGAAAATAAAATCTTCCTGTTATATAGTTTCTAATTTCTGAAAACCTCGAAAAACTTATTTCAAACTTGTAAAAATAACGAAAAAACATGAATGAACTTTAATCTTAGTCACATTTTACTCAAAATATTGCTTTTAGAGGCACTCAGGCTGGAAATGTATGGTATATTTATACAAATTGTACATTATTCAGAAGAAAAATCTAGCAACACAAAAGGCGTTCCGTCGCTAATTCTTTTATGTTAGGGACCGATTCTATGCAAACTTCAACG